GTGAGTGCTCTTGGTTAGTTTAAGGGCCATTTTTCTTTTGTAGAGAGAAAGTTATAAGTAAGGAAAAGTTATCATTCTCTTGGAGAGAAGAAGAATAGAGAAAGTTATCATTCTCTTGGAGAGAAGAAGAACAGCTAAAGTTATCATTCTCTTGAAGAGAAAAAGAAGATAGAAAATTATCATTCTATGAAGAGAGAAGAAAAAGAGAGTTATTTTTTTTTTAGAGAAAAGAAGAAGATCAAAGAGAGCTCTTCTCGAGCCTTTTCTTTGTTGAGAGAAAAAAGAGAGAGAAGGGAATAAAAAGGAGAGAAGAGTGAACATTTTCTTTTAGAGAGAGAAAGCCTCTATAAAGTATCTAAGATGAGAGATGAAATCCTAGAGAGAGAAGTCTCTAGATGAAATCGGTGATCCCAAGAAAAGTTGTTTTTTTTTAGGACTAAAAATTGAAACTTATTTCTCTAGATAAAATCGATGATCCCAAGAAAAATTGTTTTTTCGGAGGATTAAAAATTGAAATTTGAGTTTTTTAACAAGGAGATCTTATTATCTAAAAATTGAACAGTCTCTATTTAATCTCAAGACATTAAATCTCAAGACATTATTTTTTCAGGTGCATAGAAGGTATAATTAATAAAAAAAATTGATTGATGTTAATCTATGGGTTGAAAATGTTATATCCTCAAAATTTGGGAGCCTAAAATTAGTTTTAAGTGGGGTTTTACTCGAGGGAGTAAATATCTACTGTCATGGGAATAGAATATCTTTAAGCATTAAAAATTACCAATTTGTTTATAATTTTTATTTAGGCTTTAGGTCAAATGTAAATTTCCTAAAAACGTGTTCACTTTTTTCTTTTTTCAAAGTAAATCGGTATGTTCCTCATTCATGCCAAGAGCATATTTAGAGAATATTCTTGCTTTGGTAAGAATTGTAGATTTATTATTATTTTTTAAAATCGAATCCAAGTTGCAAAATGCTTTAAGAATAACATTGAAATTGCTGACCAAACAAGAAATTCGCAGTCTCTAACCCCAAGGGGACTTTTGTAATCGACATAATTTAAGATGGATCCAAAATAAAAAGATAAATTTATATTTTATTTAATTGTATGTTTTTATAAGGCTTAATTAAAATTTATAATAATCTTTGTTGAAATCATTTCCATTCAGTCCATATTATTGAAATATATCCATTGACATTTATAGTTGTTATCTGATTTATTCATGGTTAAGCATATAACATGTAGTGTTTGTGCGGTACTTTTGCATTTTCTTTTAAATCCAAGTTTCATGGAAATAAGAAAGTATATCTTCCAATAATAGAGCAGTACTTGCAATGGGTTTTAACTATGAAAAGTATACCATAGATTATTTATTTTTGGTATAAGGAGATCAATATCGCCTTTGACCATTAGATGTAAAACCAAGGGGCCGGAGTTATGCCCTACACTACCTCAAAATCGAGAAAAAACTTCACAATAAACTTTGTGACACCTCAACTTGTGAGATTTCACATTACAATCTCGAATTACATGGCTAGAGTTGATTGTGACATTTCTTGTGACATATATTATTTGAAGATATGTAGCATTACTAGCCTTAGAATATATTTTTTCAGGAAATTTATCAAAATAAAGTATTTAAAAATTTGTCCAATTGCAACTATTCCCACTCGAGACTATGTTTTATTATGGGCATTTTGAAATTAAATCAAAAGATATGAGTAAAGTGTTAAATTCATCAGCTCACAAGAGTAATTTGATAGATATCCGTATTTTCTATTTACTTATTTGGTAATTTCCTTGGAACAAACATATAAAGCCATCGAAGTAATTCAGTTGAAGGGTTTCACTGGAATAAAAACATGGGTTTCACAACAAAAAAAACTACCAATATTTTAAATCTCGACTTCCATTCCATACTTTGGATAGAAATCAATTGGAACCAAACCAGTCTCAGGACCGTGCAGGTCCCGGCCTAATTCCTCCCTAAAATCGCCCCTCATATGTTTTTAATATTTTTTTAGTTCCCTTTAAATCCCCACCCTATAAACCCATATTTTTTATTTTATTTTATTTATTTTTATTATTATCAGAATCACAATTTCGGAAGCAAGGATCCAACTCGGGTCTATGGGGGAACTACCTGCCCCACGGACCTAGGTTTTAAAAACTAGTGACTGCAATTGCTTCTTTTGGCCTCTTTTTATTTTATACAAAAAATTACAATCGTTTTATGCACTCTCATGTAAAATTTAGGGTGGGATATAGTATGAAGAAAAATAAAAAATAAAGTCCTTAGGATTTGTACCGCATTGACGCACCCCCTTGACCAACTTTATTTATATCAGGCAACTTGATCTACCAATGACGTTAGTATACAAAAATAATAAATATCCGTACATGGTTGCATTCAAATCCGTACAAAATGCTCCAAGTTCTCAAACAATCAAGGGCCTTGTGACTGCTCGGATTGCTAACCGCTACATTGTTTGGTATGATATAAAGAAAAAATTTAGTTTGGTTAAAAATTGTTAACGTTTTACCCGTTTTAGCTCTTTAAATTGTCTAGTGTTTATAATATATTTTATATTTTAAAATAATTATTTTTATTTTATTTATATATATTTTAAAACTTGTCGAAGTGGTTTATTGAACTAGGCCCCTCACCTATTTGGTAGATGTGCTTTAAAAACCAATGTTATCAAATTCGTTTTATTTCGAAAGAGGCTGAAGCTTTTGATTTTTAAGCATAAATTGAAGTGAAGAGAAACGTGGTGCTGCCGCTTCGGTCAAATTTGGGCTGCTTCGATCAGATTCGGATCTGCTTCAACCGAAGCTTTGGGATGCTTCTGTCATAAAATAAATACCTATATAAAAATATTTATTTTATTTTTTATTTTAATTTTTTTAATATCTATTTCATTTATATTAAAATTTTGTAAAAAAATCCAAAGTCATATCCCGAATCGGCATAAACATCAAATTGCTTCATTTTTCTCACCAAAATTAAAAAGACACCGAAGCGAATATGGACAAACTCGAAGTTGGTCTCTCTTTTAAAACATAAAAAAAAAAAATTTTACATCTACCAAACGAAATTGTCTAATCTCAATAGATGGTAGATGCAAACCAGTTAGCTCTCCTTGGCCCATTGGACTCAGGTAGCACGACGCTTCTATCATAACTGAGAAAGACTATAAGCATGGAAAATAAGAGCATGAGCCACAAAGTGCGGCTCGAGGAATGAGCTAAGGCTGAGCCTCCACGCCCCGTGGATGAACCAAGTCAGGCTTGGTCCAAGGCTACAATAGTGCTGGCCTCGGCTAGCCCATGACACTCTTATTATTTTTATTTTTTCTTTGATTCTATTCGGCCGAGCCCAACTAGATCCAGGGCCATTCAACCTGGTTCAGGCCGGGGCAGCAGGCCCATGCTGGTCCAACCCATAGCCAACCCTAGTTCAATCGTGTCATGATTTACTCTTGTATTGTAGGTGCACTCATTCCCCCTCTCTCCAACATTTACCTGGCTTTTGAAAGTCTGAAACTTCATGCATACTCTCTCCCTCTAATATCTTGCATTGAGGAAAAGAAAAGCTACAAGGAATCAGCTTTTCCAATGCACATCACATCACCTCACCTCACCAGTGTTTCAGTAGAGAGAAGCCACCAAAATGTGGAATCCTATTTCCATCAAACAAAAGAATGCTTACCAGCTTTTGGAATCCTTTGCTGTATAGAAAAAACAACGTCAAAGGCTCTAACTTAAACCAAAACCAAATTGGTTGTCCAACTCCCAACTCAATCTTCACCCTGTGGTTTTGAAAACTACTAGAAATTAAAACTCTAACAAGAAAAAGTTTATATAAGGTCGCAATCTTAAAATGTAGAATTAAAGGACATAAAAAATAAATGTTGCTTTAATATTGAAAACCCTCTAATTGAGCATCTAGACATCGAGATGATTGAATATGAACAAAAAAAAAAAAATTAAGCCTTAAAAATAGTGCATTTCGCAACTCATTATCTAGACTGTCCATTTTTAAGCTTTTCATATGTTTATAGGTCTACTTGATTTTAACCATTTTTGGAGTTTAAACTTTTATAATTAGATATGAAAATAGATTTCCAGATAATTGTAATAATTTTTTAAACCAAAATTACATGTTATGATAAAACTCGGAGGTGCACCTTAATTGGAGTATTTAAGGTTGCAACCTTATAGAAACCACAACTTTCTAACAATAATGTATATTGTAATACAGTATCTAAATTGTTCATTATCTAAATTGTTTAAACTTTAAATTTCATAATTAATGTTGGAAATTGGTTTTAGAGTCATCATTTAAATTTCTGATGCCCAAAATCTTTCATCAATGAAAATTCGAGATGAGATTTTACTTTATTGCATAAAAGCCTAGGCCCAAATATCCATTCCAAAAATATTTGAAATAAATATAATTGAGTAAGAAGACTACAAATGACGACCACGTGTCTCGTATGAATGTGCTCTTTTGTTAGGCTTTTGATACAGGACGGAGGCACATGAGAGAGAAGGTGGCGGATTCGTTGTAGAGAGAGAGAGAGAGAGTAGCGGATGGCAGGTAAATTTCTAAAACCCATGGAGGGAATTTTGGTTTAGGAAAAGTGATTTGTGGTTTAAGATGAATTTCTATAATTAAAGATTTTGAAAAAAATTTAAAAAAAATTTTAAATTTTATTTTATTTTATTATATTTTTTATATTCATGACAATCCTCGATCTCGATCTCTACAAATTTAAATCCAAGATCTATATTAAAAATGTACGTTAGAGGGAGCCCGCATGAAAATATTATGAGTCCGGGGATTCATAAAAACGGGGTGTGATTAATGAGGGTAAGTTAACAATTTGAAACCTTGTGATATTCTTTCTCGTATGAATCCACTAAAAATATCAAGGGCATTTTGGGTAGTTTACTCATAAAATACAGAGAAATGAAGCAAAAAAAAGAAAAAAAAAGGAAAACGTATTTTTCTCTCTCTCAACGCGCTGGATTAGTTGCTCTGGTTCCCCGAAGCGGAATCATTCCCTCCCTCTCTGTTTTTGGGGGGTCTCACCATTCACCACCCCCAATTTACTCTCTCCTCTCTGTAATTCCAACCATTCTCTCTCTAACCCGCCTCTTCTTCAAGCCTTAAAACCCTTGCTTCTTTGCTCTGAATTGAGCACCTTTCTTTCTCTCTATCTCTATGTTCTATATCTCTATCGTTCTCTCTATTGCGTCTCTGAACCCTAGATCCCTGTAATTCTACCCCGTTAACCTCTCCATTGTCGTCAAATTCTGTAAATTTGATCGTTTGATCTCGGATTCAATGGCGAGATTGCCTCGGAAAAGGCAGGCTTTAGCAGATGATCTTTCTGCTTCAGAGGACGAACAAGATAAATCGAGCAATTCACTCTCTGAGAGTTTGTCGAGTGAAGAAGAGGTGGAGGAAAAGCCCACTCGATATGAACCGCACCCTTCTCCTGAGAAATCAGAACAGGCTCCTGAGGATAGGCCTGTTCGTGTTTATGCAGATGGGATTTATGATCTCTTTCATTTTGGCCACGCTCGATCCCTGGAACAAGCAAAGAAATTGTGAGTTTCTGGTCTCCTTTTATATGTATATATGTTATCTTTGTTTATCAAAAGTTCATTGGTGGCTTGATTTTTATTTTGTCGTTCTTGAATCTCGATAACTGGTTGAAATTTGATTTTTTTGTTGTTAAGTTTTGTTTATGTAAGAGCTCGTATGGTTAATCTGTTTAACTGGATTTTATCTGGTCGATCTAACTCATTTTCATATCTTTATTACCTTTATTTTGGTTTTCTTTGTTTAGTTTTACGGCTCATTATACTTTCCTTCATATTCCATGATTGTTAGATTTGTGTTATTGCCTTGATTGGTGAGAATATGCCGAAGTAATGCTTGATTGATTAGAATCTGCTGACTTAACTAATGCAAATTGAAATTTATGTTCCGTTGTATAAAACTGAATCTGTTCTGAATTTCTTTTTGTTTATTATTTTGGAGCCTATTTATTTTGGGTGTGATCAGTAAGAATTTGGTGAATTAGTTCATGTTGATATTCGTCTCTTCAAGGATAATTTTTAGTTTTTTTGTAATTAGAACATGTTACTCCTGATTCAAATATGCAATCATATCTAACTTGGCTACCTATTTTATTTTTATCTATTATGAACCTGTTTTCATGGATTTCCTCTTGCTTTCTGGCATACAAATCAGGATTTTGGTTCACTATATGAAGGGGAATCTGTTGTTTTTTCTTAATGCTCTATTACAATTTCAAAATAGTCTTCTTCTTTTTTTGTGCAGTTTACTATGCTTTTGTCCTTTTTTGTGTCACTCATTCGACAATCACAGTTATTGATTGATTAAATTCCTCAAACCTGAGGATCCTTTTCAGATGTTTGCACACAATTGTTTCCGAATTGTTTCATGTATATTTTGAATTGTATTTATTAGATATTCTTTTTTTTCTGGTGCCATGGTTTGGGCTGATTTTTGACAAAATTTTAGCATTTGTATTGCTTTTGTGTTATAGTTGTAGATGTTTATCACTAAAAGGATCAAGAGGCTATCTTTCTCTCTTTAAACTTTTCCTAAGCCTTTGCATGGATTTTTTTTTTTGGGGCCCTTGAATGGAATTTTTTTTTGGTGTGCATAATTGAATGGAGCTGGGGGTTTATATTCAAGGATTCCGTGTTTAGTGTGTGTGTCTTAATTATTTGTAATTACTGTATTTGGTGGGATTTGGAGTTTCTGTTTGCTACTATTTATCCTTTATGCTAAGTTTTTTGCCTTTAAGCGTATAATTTATGTCTAAGAAGATGCATACTTCTTTGTATGATGACCCTATGATGCGATTGCATCATGGTTCCATTTAGGCTTGTCTTATTATGATAATATGATGAATACATGTGATATTTCCCTTGGTTTCTTTTCGATATTAGTGTTTTGGTTTGAAACTGAACATCATCTTCATTATCCTCATTGTCCGAGTCTTATCCCAACTATTTGGGGTTGGCTACACAAATCATGTTCTGCCAATTCCGCTCTATGGAGGGCGCCTTATCCCAACTATTTGGGGTTGGCTATACAAATCATGTTCTGCCAATTCCGCTCTATGGACGGCGCCTTATCCCAACTATTTGGGGTTGGCTATACAAATCATGTTCTGCCAATTCCGCTCTATCGAGGGCCATATCCTCAGTCAGACTACAGGATAACATCAGATCAGGATTCATAAAAAGATGTGGCAAAATTTTTACATTGGCTGCCAACCTAATACAACCCTCCACCTTTCTCATTCAGGCTTGGGATTGGCATGACCGGCTTGGGACTGGCGATGGGGGAGTTTGGATTGAAATTGAACACCTGATTTAAATAAATAACAAATTGGACTTTTCCTTTTTTGTTTTTATGAATCATGTTGATTCCATTATAATCTTTGTTGTTGTTATTGTTCTTAATAAATAATAATTAATTATAATAATAATTATTATTATAATAATAATAATAATAATAATAATAATAATAATAATAATAATAATAATAATAATAAAATATTATTATTATGATGATGATGATGTTGTTGTCGTCGTCGTCTTGGTTTTTTGGGGCTTATTTGGTACTATCACATTGATCATTGGTTTTGAGTTAAAAAGGTTTTTTTAACCTGGAAAACTTTTGACTGACTCTTTGTTGTGCACAACCTCAGGTTCCCCAATACGTACCTGCTTGTTGGTTGCTGCAATGATGAAGTAACACATAGATACAAGGGAAAAACTGTTATGACTGAAGCTGAACGATATGAATCTCTCCGCCATTGCAGGTCTTATCTCGACCTTATCTTTTCTGACCCACTTTTATATCCGTAATTTATAGCGATTGGGTGATTCTTATGATGCCTTTTTTTTGGGTGAATAATTCTTATGATGCCTTAAGAAATAAGGATCTGGCTTTGAAAAAAATAATGCAATAATGGATGTTAAAATACTGTTGCTCGTATTGTTGTCAAGTTTAGCATGCTTCTGGTTTTTGTTCAGGTGGGTTGATGAAGTTATACCTGACGCTCCATGGGTCATCACTATGGAGTTTATTGATAAACACAATATAGACTATGTGGCTCATGACTCTCTTCCGTAAGTTGGTTCAGCTTTATTATTTAAGGTCTTCCTGATATGATAGGTGTCTTAACATGTTTTAAATGGTCATAAGAAACTGTAACATTCTTGCCCTTGTTCTGTTTTGAACTTTGGATGCTTTTCTTATGTTGCCTTATAGCTTAAGGAGCTCGGTTCATGTCAGGCATAAGTGTCAAGGATTTAAGTTTTTGAAGGATGACCTCAAATCTAGATGAGAGAATTTAATAGCTTTTCTGTTCATAAGGCATATTTGAATTTTTTTTCATTTTTTGTCTTTTGAATTCTTCCCATGTAGATATGCAGATGCCAGTGGAGCTGGAAATGACGTTTATGAATTCGTAAGTTGTCTCTGTTACTGAAGTTTTAATAGTTTAGTGGTGAAAGAAGTACCTCTATTATGATATTGAGCTGTTGTTTTCCAGTTTCTCTTTCTATTTTACACATTAGTCTGACTAAATTATCTTGGTTATAGGTTAAAGCCATCGGGAAATTTAAGGAAACAAAACGAACAGATGGAATTTCTACATCTGATATAATAATGAGGATCCTTAAAGATTACAATCAATATGTAATGCGTAATTTGGCCCGTGGATATACGAGAAAGGATCTTGGTGTGAGCTATGTAAAGGTAAGATATTTATTTAGCACTTTACTAATCTTATTTCTCCTGAATGAGAAAATCCACTTGCACTTATGTGTATGACTGAAGGTACACTATGGTCCTGTTGATGGCCTATGCTGTGATTGGTGCGCTCCCCAGTCATAGTTGTTCATTATTGTGGATTTTATGCTGATTCCTTTTCTCTGGTTTTGTTATTATCAGGAGAAGCAGTTAAGGGTTAACATGGGAATAACTAAGCTGCGTGAAAAGGTTAAGGAACAACAAGAAAAGGTGGGAAAAAAGGTAAGCATATTTCCGCACTGACCTATATCAGTTTTAATGAGCATATATCTGCTAAGAATGGGGATCTTAGAGGGATAATTCTAGTGGTTATTCTTGGTACGGCATCATTAACATGGTGGTCACTTGTGGTTTTATTTATTTTTTATATTTATCTCCCAAGAGTAATAACTTTAAGAGATTCCTTTTGATCATTGCTTGTACTTGGGTATATTGTAATTGTATGCAAAGTCAATGTCAGTTCAATTTTATGACTAGACCGGTTATTGAACTGGTAAGGGCAAAAGTGGGTTTCGAACTAGTTGAATTAACTGGCTTACCTAGGGGTGGCAATGGACCTGACCAGACCCGGGACCCGATGGATAGACCTGACCTCGTGTCTGGGTATGGGTCCAAATTTTGGACCCGAAAGGTCAGATCCGAGGCTGGCCGGACGTGATCCGGACCCGACCTGAATAATATAAATATTTAAGTAATATTTAGAAATATTATTTAGAGTTTCACCCAAATAAGCTTTCTCTTTTTAATCTTCAAAAGCAATAAATATTTCACCTTGCATCCTTTTTGGCTGCAACTTTCTCTCTCATCTTTGCTTCCCTCTCTCTCCTTAAAGGTGGAGTTAATTGTTTATACCAATGCTCAATGATTCCCAATCGTGGTAAAAAAAGGGCAAAAAAAAGAAAAGAAAAAAAGAAGCTCATAGTCATAGCCCACGTGTCTCGCATAAACTAAAGGGACCCACAATTATTTAAAGGAATCCAAAGCTTCTATTCACACAATAAAGAATCTATTTAATCAGCACACAATCATTTCCCCTTGCCAACAGCCATGTGGCCAACATGCACTTGTACCAGGCGCTCTCTGTCTCGGGTCCGGGTTCCATAGTAATTTTTGGGTCCAGGTCCGGGTCCGGGTCCAGTGACTCTAGACCCGGTTGGGTCTAGGGTCCCATAATGAATTTTTGGGTCCAACCGGACCCGACCTGTTGCCACCCCTATTCACAAAATATAAGCTTAAACCAATAATAAACGACAAAATATTCCATCTACAAAAATGTACAAGATATCAAAAAATAAAAAAAATAAAAGAATACCAAATCAGAACGTATTATACAAAAAATAATAAAATAAAATTCAAACACATTCAAATATTGTGTTGCACTAAGATTTCAAAATGAATTTGATAAAGGTCCAAACTAGGAAATATTTACAAAATATTTAATTTTTTTTTTGGGAAAGAGTGGCTCCTACCCCTTTTTATAATAGATTGGGGAGTTACGTTTTGAAAGTGTTAATTGGGGGTGTTAGCAGTAGGAATGGACACCACGATGTGGTAACTAGCTGTGGGGATGCTACCACCAAAAAAAGAAAATCAAATAATAGTACATTATAAAAGAAAGTGAAATGGTTTGATAGGGCAGCAGTCCTATCAAAATAAGCAAAGTGTCACCTCAAAGTTCAATAAATATTGCAGTTTTGGCATCGAAAAACCTTCAAATGGATGATCTCCACCTCGACCAATATGGTTGTGAAAGAAATTAGAATTTCAAGCCGTAAAAATAGTATATATTGTAACACAAATATCTGTACCATTTTTTGAGCTTCAAATCTCATAGTTGGTGTTAGAAATTGATTGTAGAACCATATGGAGATTTTCGATGGCCAAAGTGGTTTTCGGAAGATTTGAGGTGAGGCTTATTTTATTTTTATAAATCCTAGGCCTCATAGGAATTGCATCCTAAAAAAAACACCGACCCCCAATTCAAATCTTGTGTTGCACTAACCCTTTCAAAATGAAACCAATATTTGCCCAAATTGGTGATCTTTGGACACTAAAAGTCCTCTTATGCGACCACTCTAAGCTCCAAAAGGTATCAGGAAGTATTATCTTTTGACTTTGCAAGAAATCGAAAATGTTGAATTTTTTTTTGGTCTTGAAAAAAAAAATTTCTCAAAACCAGAGTTTTTTTGGGAGTTTTTCTCTTTAAAATACATAAAAGGGGCTAGAATGCTCCCCGAAACCCCTTTCCCCCATTGATAAGGCGAGGGAGAACCCCAAAATACCCCTGGCCAAGGGCTTTTTTCTGCCCTCGGCCAACCTGCTTATGCCTAGTGCCTGCCTAGGCAGCGTATCATTTGGACATCCTACTATATTTGTTAATGAGTTTGTCACATATATACAAGTGTACCATGTTTAAACAACAGACAATTAGTGGAACTAAATAAAATTGAAACATATCCATGTAGTAGTGTTAGATATGCAACTCTTTTCTCAAGGAAAGAAAAAAGGGTGACTTGCTCTTTCAGTATTTACATGTGTAGGCTTTAATCATATAAACTTCCTTCACGCTTGAACTTTAAAAAGGTCGATTATTGGAATGAACATAAAGCTGCAATTATTTTTGGCTCTTCTTTTTCCTCTTGTTCCTTGGATGCCGGATTATTACCATTATGGTTGCACTTCAGGGGTGTAATAAATACTTGAAGAACGTAATGAATGGTAACCAATGATTGATTCTTTGATGAATAATTTTTGTTATTGTTAAAAGAATGCAGATATCATGTCCTAGTACTACTGTTAAAATTAAGATGTATTTGAAATTGAAAAGGGGAAGTGGAAAGTTGTACTCTAACGAAAGAGCCATTCTACCCACTTCCTTTCCAGCTTACATAGTGTAGCACACGCATCATGTGTATGCTGTACTTTCCCTTTCCCTTTATGAAAATTTATGTTCTCTTGCAGGTAATGTTTATACACCTCATTGCTATTTTGTTCTTTTTTTTTTCTTGTGACCAGTTGCATACTGTATCAAAGACAGCTGGTATGCATCACATTGAGTGGGTGGAGAATGCAGATCGCTGGGTTGCTGGTTTTCTTGAGAAGTTTGAGGAAGGATGTCACATAATGGTAGGCTCTACGCATAATTTGTTCTCTTGAAATATGATCCTGCAAATCCTTTTTTTCAGACAATGTCAAAAACTTTGACAAGCTTTTTCTTGTTTTTGAAAGAAATGCATGCTTCCTGAGAATCTCATGGCAAACTATACATGCCCCCCTCAAATAAAAAATAAAATATAAAAAGAACTTCCCAAGCCCTCTGTCTCTCTGATAAACAGGATAAATTTGGGAGGTTTTCGCAGACCATCCTCTCTCTTTCTCTCACACTCAACACACACACACACACATGTATGCGCACACAGACACACACATGTACTAGCAATAAAAATACAAGAAAGTATCAATCTCTAACTCCCATCACAAGTTGGTCCCAATAACTGCAAGAGTATGAAGTCATCACTTCATGTACGTATGTGACACAAGGTAATTAGGAATCATTTCGGATCCAGGTTCCTGGGGAGTGCTCATTCTCATTTTACAAGTTGAAATTTTTGAACAAATGACAATTTATCCATACAATTTTCTCATGGATTTTCGTGAAATGTAGTGATTGTCTTCAATTTGCAGTCTCCTCTTCATCTTTTGTACTTTCACAATAAAGGCTGAGAACTTTAATTTCTCTTCTAATCAGAGTTTATGACATGCTTGCTGACAGTGAAGATATGCTTTAGTTTTCTCTTAATAAAAAAAAATGGGGCTAGTTTGGCCACCCATGCTGTTAATTAATCCTCCCAAACTGGTGGATTACAGTGGATGATCTCATATAAACATCCAGCAAATAGTACTGAAGCCCATTTTTTTTGGTGGCAGAATAAGAAACAACAATTAGATTACTGAAAACATGGGTGGCGAAACGAACCCCCATTACAGAGTCTGGTCCCTTTCTAGTTTTCTAAACAAAATTTTATCTTTTCTCCTTTTCTAATAGAAATGATCCTGATTTGTTTTGCAACAGGAAACAGCCATCAAGGACCGTATCCAAGAGGGTCTAATGAGACAACAGTCTAAAGGAGCGCTCCGTAACTTGCGTCAAGTACGAGAAGCACACTGAGCCCTGTGCAAAGCTTCCACCTCTTCAGAAAGGGTGGGCGGGTACATCTAATAGGATGTAATCGAGGCGGCCATGGCCAACACTGTTTCTCTCTCTCTCTCCTCTTTGTAATATGTTGGTATTACCACTACTGATTCTGCCAGTTTGGAGTCTCTCTCCTGCTATGGCTACTAAATGCGGTTCTTTTCTTGTGGACTGATTCCGTTTTATATATGTTTACAATGTTAATTGGGGCGGTAAGAGCCGCCCAGTTCTTTGATTTGTGTTTTATTCGTTGTTAGTGTTTCTTGTGTTGGTTCTTTGGAGGATACCGTGCATGGGCACTCTCTCACACCCTTAAATTGTCTTTGTGAGTAGAGAGGAATGATACAATTGTTATGCGAGGATTACGATGGCTTTACAGCTTGAGCAATTAGCTCACTTTAATCTCTCTCTCTCTCTCTCTTCGGGTGTTGTGAGCGCATTCAACGGTTTGCGATGCTCTAGAACGTCCCTTAGAATCTGTAAAAATGGCGATTTGGATTATTTTTTTTTAATCCATAATAATACTTTGAAGAAATGTTGATTTGGATTTTTTTTTTTTAATCTGTAAATATGGCGATTTGGATTGGCCTTGCCTAATTGGATTGGGAATTGTCAATGATGAACTACGTCCTGTAAAATTCAGAAACCAGCCGGTTTTTCCATGGCACAACTGGTTCTTGCCGGTTCATTAATAGAGATAAAACTACGGGTATTTTTGTTATTTAAATTTATGTTCTCAAATCAGGACAGCCAAGGGTAATTTCTTATTTTGCTCAAGGATCTTGGTAGATCAAATTACTAAAATACCTCTTGTTCTTCAACATTCTCAACCATGAATAGGGGTGATAGGATGTTTTATGTAACTTTTTTACAAGGTACCTTTATGAAATGAAACTCAAAAAGTAAACCTCATAATGCCGGTAGGATATTTTGAGCCCTCCATTGATTTTGTAATACAATTTAAGCCTTTTAATGATATTTTCTTTTTCAAATGCTGACAGTACAAAAAAAGTGATGACAAATGTCTCTACAATGGTTTCGACAAAACTCTGACAGAAGGAGTTCTGATTTGGAAAGTCCGTTCACCTTAGAGGAGATTAGACGATAGTTTTCTCACGTCTTAGAATAAGCTCCTGGCCTAGATAAGGTTATTAAATGGCTTCTTTCCCAATTTTACCTGGAAATCATCGAAAATGACTTGGCGAAGGTGTTTGAAGAATTGCACCATAGGGGAAAGATAAATCAAGTTGTGAGCCCTACTTTCATAGCTGTGTTTGCCCAAAAACATATCACAGTTGTTGAATGACATTAGGCTGATCAGCCTACTTGTCAAGCTTGCGGAAAATATTTGCTAAAGTTTTGGCTATTAGACGTTATAGAAAATATTTGCTACAGTTTTGGCTATTAGACTCAAAGGTGTACTCGATGGAATATCAGGATCAGGACCACACAACCTTCATCAATCCTTGACAAATTATGAATGGCATTGTAACAGCACAAGAGTGTTTCAGATTGCTGGGAAAGCAAGAGTAGTGCGTAAATTGGACTTCAAAAAAGGTTATGCTAAGGTTGAGTCAGTGTACCTTATGTAAATAAAAGAGATGGGACTTGAAGATAGATAGAGGACTTGGATCAATGGTTGTCCAATTAACACACAATATTCAGTTTTGATATAAGGGAAAGTTGTGGGCTACTTCCGGGCTCTAGGGGTATTTGCGAAAGAGGGCCCTCTCTCCCCTTTCTTATTTACATTAGTATCTAAGTCATTCAGCTCAATGTTCAAAGTAGTGAATGACAAAGTTTTGCTTAGCGGATTTGAATCATCTATTGGACGGCCAATAATATCTCATTTGTAATGTGCAGATGATACGTTGGTCTTTTCGCGATGCCTTGCTTTCCCCGGATAAAAAATTATGATCGTTTCTAATTGTTACGATGTTGCTCTAGGCACGAAGATAAACAAGGAAAACAGGTCTTTGCCCAGTGTTTGGATGTGGCTCTCATTCTCTACTAGCCAAGTATTTAGGGATGCCATTGCTATCTTACGAGTGCAATTTGGGACAAAGTGAAATAAAGATTTCATACCAAATTAGATATGCAGAAATCAAGGTACTATCGTTCGGAAGTAGGATCACTGTAGTCAAAGCCATTTTATTAGATATGCCAATCTATAATTGTTCTATGATCGGAGTACCAAACACAGTGTTCAAGAAGTTGGAATGCATAATGAGGGATTTTCTTTGAAATGGTTTGGATGAGGAGAAGTTATATATGGTAAGTGGAATTCTGTTTATGCTCCAAACAAGTATGGAGTCCTGGGCATTCACAAGGTAAAGCCTTTAAACGAGGCTTCATTATCGAAATAGTGGTGGACAGCAGCAGAGGCCCGAGTCCATGTAGAAATCTTTGATTAAAAAAAAAATAATTACAACAGAGAGGGGAATAGGATCCTACTGAAGAAGTTAACAGCTTGAAAGCCTGCCTCATGTATAGATTACATAAAGCCTCGTTTCATTCGGTATAGTAAGATGCCGAAGCTCTTTTCTCACAACTTTCTAGTAAGGTGCAGAAGGTGAATGCAAGAATTATGGAGGTGGTCTCTTGGGCTAGATGACAAATGCTGCAGCACATAAAACTGAGATCCAGGGAGTCTTCTCTGTGAAATCCTTGTACAATTTAACATCAATGAATGGGCAATCCCGAACCGATGCTGGTCCCTCACAGAGTTCATGCTTTTTGCTTGCATTGTGATTCGCAATGGAGCCCCAACAATCGTATTGCGAGAAAAGGAGATGCTTCTCAATGACATTTATCTAATGCAGTATTCACAAACTCGGCTGGTTCAACAAGAAAGTGCTGAATATTTATTTTTTTACTTTCTCATCTTTGTTTTTAAAAGTTTTTACAAAAATACCCTAAGCACAAATAGATTTTCTAAAATCCATTTTTTTTACTATATGCTTTGTTTACCCATACTTTAAATATATTTTTTATATTTTTTTAGATTTTTTTACTTTTATTTTTTTAATAGTTCTAATACAGGTCAAGACCTACCTGATTAGGCCGGTTGAACCGGCCAGTTTACCAGTTACTTGGATCCCTTTTGATTTTTTGAATACTGGTATGAAGGATTGAACTCTTGTGTGTTTCGTTCATTGCCCCTTCGTCTAAGACATAGCTTTGTAGTACATTGAACTCTCACTCATATCCTTATATAGTTTATAACATCAACATAGCTTTGTAGTACATTGAACTCTCAGTCATATCCTTATATAGTTTATAACATCAATAGGTAACAGACCCAAACCGATTATCTGAAAAAAAAAAAAAGATAACAGACACAAGCACTTTGATCTTGTCGGTCCACCACAGAGCTCAGACTTTTGTTTGGATTGCAATTTGCAATAAAGGCCACCAACAATTGATATGTTGCCCGAAAATGAAATGGTTCTCGCTAACATTTTTCTAATGGGCAAAAATGATGAAGAACTAAACTTTCATGTGTTCCTTCATCGCCCCTTTGTCTATCCCCTATAGAAGTAGATTTTTTAGTGCCTTTGAATTTAGCTGGTTCTCCCCACTAATTTTTTTCTCCCATGATGTCTCTCTCATTTGCCAAGTTGGGGATCAGTGTAAGGCTGAGAATGGGTCTGATCGGGTATGGATCCACCAAGATCTGGATTTGAATTCGAAAAGTATATGGGATTCGGATCCAGAGTGGACCCGATTGGCTCCAGAATATTTGGATTTGGATTTAGATCCAAAAAGTATGCATGGGATCCGAATCCAATTGGATCCAAAAAAAATATTTTACATCTATAAAATAATATATAACAAAAAAATAATATAAAATATATTTTAAAAATACCATACAACATATATTTGTGTATGCATATAAAATAATATATAATATTTAAATAATTAGGTCGCATCCAGATCATATCCACCTGTAACTGGATCCAATTCCAAATTACCATTTGGATCCGGATCTCAATCCAAATCTTGGACCCATACCCAGATTTGGATTGGTTCGAAATTTGGGTTTCTGGTCGGATCAATAAATTCTCAGCCCTGGACCGGTCTATGGAGAATTGCTATTGGTAGTTTAAAAAGAGTAACAGTAGAGTTTTTTTAGCAGAGATCAGGTTTTCATTTTGCGTCTTAAGACATGGCTAGAACGGAGTTTTAAGAAGTTTCCATAGAATATCTTATAAATAAGTAGTTTTATTTAAGCCGAATAGCTTCCCCCTGCTTTAGGTTGGATAAAGCTCAATTTTGATAGAAGTGTATACAAAAATCGTATTATGCTCGAGATTGGTGATGTACTTGGGGATCAAAATGCAAGTACTCGTTTATCCTACTTCCGTCTCTAGGGGACATGCATAGTGAATGAAGTTGGACTTTTAGCTCTAAATAAGGGGTTGAATGACTCCCTCACAATTCCTGTCTAGTAATTATAGAAGGGAATTCAACAAATGTTATCTCATGGTGCATCTCGTAGAAATTACCTCTTATGCTTTAAAAAAATAAATAATGTTCGGACTGAATGGTCTATTCGGAGAGGAACCAAACAACTAATTCTTTTATTGACAAAATTACAGGCCTATTAGAAAAATAAATAAATATTCTAATTTAGATGATGAAAAAGGTAAGAGGCTTTCTCTTTGTTCTTTTCTCTGGCCTTGGAGTAGGTCTATGAGCTTTTCATGGACCCTTGGTGCTACTTGAAATTCTGATTTTCATTAGATGGATATACATCTTTTTTACTTAAAACTTTTCCAAAGATAGAAAAATAAATAAAAAATCTCTATAGAAGTATCTGTAATAGTTTATCTAAGAGAAAAGATTGTTGAGATAATCCTAAATTGGAAAGAAAGTCGTCGAATTTGAATGCTTCTTGAGATTGAAACAAGTAGTGAATAGAGATGGCAGTGGACCCGACCAGACCCGGGACCCAATTGTTGACCCGATCTCGGGTTTGGGTATGGGTCTAATTTTTTAACTCGAATTATCGAGTCTGGGTCCAGTCGGACCCAACCCGTATCCGTAAACCGTTGGAGATAAATAAACCCTATATATTTGGGTATATTAAGGATTGCATACAATAAGAACTCGTAGTCATCTTTAGCTATTAAACGACAAATCATAGGCTTGAAATCTGATGGCGGGTGATAGTGACCTTATTGCCAATAATATGGGTATATGATGGTAAACAAAAAAACAAAAAAATAAAAATAAAGATCTCATAGTCATAGGGTGGCAATGGATTTGACCAGACCCGGGACCCAACAGGTACGAATATGGGTCCAATTTTTAGACCCGATGGGTCAGGCCCATGTCCAATGCTTGGACCGGAATATTATTTGGGTTTGGATCCAGGTCAGAGTCTGAGTCCAACCAAACCCGACCCATTGCCACCCCTAGTAGTGAAGGAGCAAAATTAAGAGAACATGCTCGGGGATGCAATTGTAGCGTAATGCCCTCCAAATAACAACACTTCTTCGTTGTTTTTTTTTTTTGGGCTAATCAGCGGGGATAAAGCCCCTACCCTTGGTAGGAATTGAGCCTTGGACGTACTATTGCAAATCATCAAGTAAGGATGGCAATGGACCCGGACCAGCCGGGTGTACCCAACAAGGGTTTGGGTATGGGTCCAACATTTGGACCAGGGGGTCGGGTCCTATTGGAACCGACCCATACCCATAAACTGTTGGAGATAAAATATTTCAATCCCTATTTGTTTGAATGTATTAAGAATCATATTCAATAAGAACTCGTAGTCATATTTAGCTATTTAATGACAAATCATATGACTTGAAATCTAATGGCAGGTGATTGTGACCTTGTAGGAATATGGATATATGATGGTAAAAAAAATGACAAAAAAAGAGCTCATAATAAGGGACCCTTACTATAGGCTTCTTTTTTTCTTTTGCTTTTTTTTTTTTACCAAAGGTGCAATGGACCCGACCAACCCAAAACCCGAAAGGATAGACCTAAGGCCCGACATATATGGGTATGGATTCAACTTTTCAACCTGATGGGTCGGATCTAGGTTCAAAACTAGACCCCGACTATTATTCAGGTCTGGCTCCAATCGGACCCGACCCGTTGCCATCTCTATTATTGTCGAGCGCTAACCAATTAAGCTCAAGCTTTTTTTTTAAAAAAAAAGTGATAAGTCAATAAGGAATTGAGCCCAACAGAGACCTCGTCGAGGGACGTGACAGTACTATCGCCACCGCAAGTTTATCGAACAAGTCGAGTGGAGGGAGACACAGCGTATGCAACCTTGTGACGCTCTCTCTAGTATCGGGTGATTGTACCATGCTTTACTTATCAAACGCCATATGCCACATATTGCCTTCTCTAAAACAAACTGTTTTTATGTTACGGTGTACAAAAACTCAGAAGCTAGTAACTCGGACTTACATTTTGATGACTCTTGAGTATCTTTGAGTTGAGTAGTCCGACTCGATATTTTTTTTTAAAAAAAAAAGAAATGAAAAAATCCAAAGTAATAAGAATTCATTTGTAATATTTTATTTATGTTTTCTATTTTGGCAAAAAATGGAAAGTGTTTCAGCTATAAATATTTATTTTTATATATATATTTTTTGAATTATTTTTAAATGGATGAAGTCTTTATAATGCCTAGGTTTTATGAAAATAAAATAAAAGCTCACCTCAAATCCTAGGCGAGAGAGCAGTTTCGACCATGGAAATCTCCATGATGGTTCTAAAATCATTTTCCAACACCGACGATGAAATTCGAAACTCAAAAAATGATACAAATCTTATAGATCTATGAGCACTAAACTTTAGGGCAAAATAGATGATCTAGATCATTTGTTACAATATAAACTATCCTTAGAGCTAGAAATCCTTCCTTTGTTTTTTTCACAACCATAATGTTCTATTTAAAAGTTTTCTAACGCTCAAATTGCAATTTTCGATGAGTTATGAGGTGAGGCTTTACATGTTTTGATAAAGGGTGCAGCCCTCTCAAACCATTTTTCTTTCTAAAACACCCTCATAACAAATTTGTTTTTTTTTTCGAAATCCATTTATCGCTATTTTTTAACTTCATTTCTAATTTTACTCCAAAAAATATTCTTCCTATTTTTTGTATTTTTATTTTTTACATTTATTGAGTACACACGATAGGGATGCATGTCTCGTTGTAATACAAGCGTTTGAGGTGAGGTAACATGTGTTTGGGTAGCTCTTTCTCTCTCTAACATGTGTTTGAGTAGCAGCTCATTCTCTCCAAACATTTGTTGGGCTACCTCACTTTCTCTCTCTAACATGTGTTTGGGTAGCTCTCTCTCTCTCCCTATTGAATGAGCTTGGGCTTAGTGATCCCATTGTCCCCTTCTCTCTCTCTCTCTCTCTCTAAAGTGAAGAAGCCTGGGCATTCCCATCCCTTTCTTTCTCTCTCTAGGAAAATGCATGCGGCCTTGTTCCTCTCTTTTGAGCACATCACTACTACTAAATTAAATAAGCTTTTCTGTGTTATTTGTTTCTTTCGAACCGATGTAAAACATTAGAATCTTTAATTTATTCAAACACCGGAAATGCACCATTGTTTTTCTCAGCTCTTTGGTTTATTTTTACAAAAACCAAACTTTTGCTTCCTATGTGCTTCCATGAGGCCTACCCAAAGTTTTCTTTACACGTTCGAATAAATGCAGAGTACATATACTGTGCTCCTGCAGGATCATACACTACACATCTACTCTCTTGGTCAAAACAGCTAGCTAGGTTGTTTTTTTTTTCTAAAATTTTGGGAACTATATAACAATTGCTAGATGATTATTTTTAAAATAAAAATGTTGAATTATCAGTTTTTGGACATTTAGATCTAGCCTTTCAAAAATTGGACATTACATCTACTCTTCAGTCTTGAGGTATTAGTTTTTTTTATTACAATAGAGAGTTTATTTCTGATTTTTTTTTTTTTTTTTTTGTGATTATTCTATGGGTTGTAGATATAAGAAAGGTTTCTATATTCTCCTACAGTATAGAAGACTTATACTTCTTCTACCATCCAGTCGTTTATTTTTGATCAAGTGCGTTACTCATCATTTGATCTTAGATCCAACACCTTCAAATATTTTATTTTTAATTTTTTTTTATAAAAATTGTATGAATATGAAATTTGGTACATGACATCTTCTCATTGGGGGGTACCTATAAAAAATATTAAAAATATTTTACAATAAAATAAAACGATCAAAATGCCTCTTAAAACTTTTAAGGATATTTTGGTTATTTTATTTTATTGAGAATATTTGTTTTATATTTTTTACAAATGTGAGTGTAAAAAAGGTTTGGATGCTCAAAATTTGGTGTCAAAATGTTCTATATAAAAAATTTAAAAATAAGATAGTGTGGAGACATGACATTGTGATTGGAACAATCTTAACCATTCATTCAAGATGGACAATAAGTTCTATGTTGTAAGAGAAACGTAGAAAGCTTACCTTGTAGATATTACATCCCTAGAATTTAAGATCTAAAAAGTATCCCTTGTCTTGAACGAGGGAAGAAATGGATAGTATACTCCCTAGGGAGGTAATCTTTTAACACAAATGAATAAACAAAGAACAAACCTGAAAGACTAATAGAAAAAAAAAGGCCCATTAATTAAGTGAAGAGAGCATATCTCTTAGCCACGCCTCATTCCTCCCCCTCATCTTCATCCCACCACCACCACATTGCCACGTGGCAGAACCTTTATCCACATGGTTGTGAAACTTGAACTCTTTCCCTAGATTTTTTTTTTCCATCAGAAATAATAGTTTACAAAACAGAATAAAATAAAAAGAAATGCCATTCCTTAACTGTAAACCCATAAGAAATTAATTCCCATAGTAATAATCTCAATGAAATTGAAGGCCCCTTGTTTTTTCCACCACAAACCCATGCCTCTCTCTCTCTACCTGGAAACGACCCACAAGTTTTTTTTGTCAGTTTATTGTGATTAATTCACCTCCATACATCAATAAGAGGCCCTTAACTCTCTCTCTCTCTCTCCTCAAATCTAATCAAAGCTTTCTCTCTCCCCAATATCTCCCAAATCAAATACCCCTTGGTATCTCTCTCTATTTCCTCCCTTTCTCTCTCTACACTGTCTTTATCTCTCTACACTGTCTTTCTCTCTCTACACTCTCTCTCACACAGCCACCCCAATTTGTCTCCAATAACAATGTAACATTTCTCTCTCTCTCTCTAACCATTCCAAACGCCAGTCCAATCTCTCTCCTCACCCCCATGCAGTTGTAGTCCAACCCCTTGGGCTTTTATTCTCCACTCCAATGTTATCCTTCCCTATCTCCCCTTGAGAGATCACCAAAAACCCACCCCAAAATCAGCTCCAAAGAACCATGGCCTCCTGCACAGTCTACACCACCCATTCTCTCTCCTCTTCAGGCACAATCTCCAAAACCAGCATAGGATTTCTCCACCAATCTCCACTCAGACCTGAAAACCAAATCATATTCTGCAAAAGAACCACCAAAAGACCCAACTCTCTCTCTACAATCACATGCTCAGTTCCTGAATATCCAAAGACTGTAGTGATTGGGTTAGCTGCTGATTCAGGATGTGGAAAAAGCACCTTCATGAGGAGGCTCACAAGTGTTTTTGGGGGAGATGCTGCACCCCCAAAGGGAGGAAACCCAGATTCAAATACTTTGATTAGTGATACAACAACTGTTATTTGTTTAGATGATTACCATTCATTGGATAGAAATGGGAGGAAAGTGAAAGGGGTGACTGCTCTTGACCCCAGAGCAAATGATTTTGATCTGATGTACACTCAGGTTAAGGCTTTGAAAGAGGGGAAAGCAGTGGAGAAGCCAATTTATAACCATGTGAGTGGGCTTTTGGATCCTCCTGAGCTTATTCAGCCTCCTAAGATCCTTGTCATTGAAGGACTCCACCCCATGTGAGTTTTTCATACAATTTGATGATTATTTATTTTAGTAGCCTCTCTTCATGTTGTTGTTCTCTGTTTTGGGAAGATGTCTCTCTCTCTCTCTCTCTCTCTCTCATATATATATATATATATATATATATATATATATACTATACTCACACACTCTACTACACACACACACACTCTCTCTCTCTCACACACACACACTCTCTCTCTCACACACACACTCTCTCTCTCTCACACACACACACACTCTCTCTCTCACACACACACACTCTCTCTCACACACACACAAATTTCACAATTGGAGCTCTCTCACTCAATTTTGATAACTTAGCTCTCTCTCTCTCTCATTCAATTTCACAATTTGAGCTCTCTCTCTCATATTCAAGTTCACAATTTGAGCTCTCTGTCTCTCTCTCTCTCTAACAGCAGTATTGTATGAACCTGACTGGTGTTCCCCATTTGATTACTCATAATCTAGGAGATCATGTTATTTTAATGGTGCTTATTATTCTCCTTGTTGTTTATGGTGGGATATTCTTCCCCGTTGTTACACTTCATCTATGTTATGAAACATGAGAGTAACAGTACGTTATTAAACAATAAAGTAATATTTTTATTAAAATAATCACTTGGACATCGGTTTGCAGCTTGCTGGGGAGGACAAGGGTTCAAAGCTCCTTAACCACTTTTTCAATAAAGAATCATATTATATTTATTGCTATATTTATTACTATATTTATTTTTTGATATATTTTACAAACTTGAACAAAATTCTAAGGTCTTCTTCTTACTTGCTGTGGTTTCTTCATTTGTCCTTCTAATTTCTAGAGCATTTTCTATGGAGCTCTTATATAGGAAACAAATTCATCTTACAATGTGATGAGCATTATCCTCATTTTGAACCTTTTTTTTACAGGAAATTTATTTAAATACTCTATTTTTTAATTATCTAGTATTTCACATTTTTTTCAACTATTCCAACTCAAAATTATTTTGGTGAGCATTTTAAGACGAAGATCAAAACAAATTGCAATTTTGCTGCGTCCTCTCTCCCCTGATAACGAACCAATTACCCATGTTACTTTTATGAGCAAGTATATTGTGCTCCCTCAGGAGTATGATTTACTTCTACTCCCTCCATTCCATGACCTTTTTGTGGGACTTTTTCAATCTGAAATGTTGGGAACCAGTAACAATTACTAGATGATTATTCCCAAAGGAAAAAATTCGAAATTTGAATTTTCTACCTCTTAGATCTTATTATTTGAAAATTAGATTGTTTCTATTCAATTTTGGGACGTCATTTTTTTTAATTGCTTAGAGGGTACAATTAGGGGGAAAAAAATTATTGAGATTACGTGTTAAAAAAGTTATATTTCCAACATATGGAATCCTAAAATTAACTCTAATAGAATTTTATCTGAGGGAGTAAATAGACAATATACTCCTGAGAGAGTAGGATATCTTTTGCCTTCTTTTATATGGTTTTCTATCCCTAATATCAAATTTTAGAGAGCCTCTTCCTCCGGCCTATCGTGAACAATAACTTATGCGTTCCTGATATCCGGAGGAAATGAGGTTTTTCTTTTTTGGAAAAGAGTCGGGGCCTAATTGGTTAGCGCTTGATAATTTGGATGGCCCTCTTCCCACTAATTCCAAAATAATAATAATAGTAATAATAAATTGTAAGGCTTAACGTTTCTAGATAACAAAACTGTCACTCTATCGGTCCTTACTTATCTCAAAAAAAAAAAACAAAAACTCAGTCCTTTTCATAAAAGGATAACCTCCTTTCTTGTGCAACTTTTCTTCTTCTTTTTTTAAAAAAAAATTGTTAACAAGAGCAATTTTTATTTATTCATAATTCTTAAAGATGTATAAACATCGAAAATACTCCTAATCAAGCTCACTCCAAATGGTTTGAAAAAAAACTATGATGATGATGACTACTAGTCAGGCACCCACAATTCAAGAGTATGGAGTATTCTAGGATGTGGAAAGTGGAAGCCAACACTACTATTTGGATGATACTTAAAAAGGATGTGGTTTACATAAAATTGTAATCATATTCGTAGAAATAAGGTTGTGAAGTTTTGTACCGTCTATTTTAGTTAGACATGTGTATTTGATGCATCTTTTAAGACACTATTTTAAGATAGTGTCAAATGTATACCGTCCAAATAAAATGGATACGGCAATATTGCGTCTACGGTAAGATTATAACATTGTATAAACTTTTTCTTACTTAAAAAAAGGGTATATTAGAGTATTCCTAAAATGCCCTTCCATACTATTTGCCTAAATCCCCTTGCTTGCCTAGATGCATTGTATTATTATTTGATGAAAGATATTAAATTTTGGTAAGAAAAATATTTTTGGCCTCCTTTGCAAATTCTTAAGGTTGATGGATTTCAAACAACTGCATGGCAAAAGTAACACAAAGATTTTGTGAAATTTTCCCAGGAGGCCTAAATTTCATGACTAAATTGGTTTGTCACTGTTTTCTTTCAGCAATTTCTTTGTTTCAAGTCATTGCATGATTTAATGCTCATTTCTCATCACCCATTTGTAATATTATTCCATATGATTTTTCTATTTGGTTTTAACCAGTGAAAACAAAGTATAGGGCTGAGCTGAAGATGCTACTTCCATTTGTAGGTATGATGAACGAGTGAGGGAGCTTCTGGATTTCAGCATCTACTTGGACATCAGCAATGAAGTGAAGTTTGCATGGAAAATTCAGGTCTAAAATGAAAAACTGAGTTCAAATTTTCCTCCTAAACTTGCTGCTTTGTCTCTCAACTTTCGAGTTTTGGTGTTGCAGAGAGACATGGCCGAACGTGGGCACAGTCTTGAGAGTATCAAAGCGAGTATTGAAGCAAGGAAGCCAGACTTTGATGCCTACATTGGTAACCCCATCTCTCTCTCTCTCTCTCTCTCTCTCTCTCTCTGTGTGGAAATTAGCTGTGTGTCAGTTAGAATATCCATTGTCCATGACGATAGATGATAAGTTGTAACCGATTGCCATCACTTGATCAATTTATTTGTCAGCAGTCTATGAATAGTATGAACCTATCCTCATCTGGATAAACCTGACCAACATTTAGGGTCCCACCAAACCCACTCATGATCATCTCTCTCTCTCTCTCACACACACACACAACCCCACCCCACCCCCAAAACACACACGCACAAATGCTTTTATTCAGTTCTCTCTATCAAAAATATATTTACCCTCCCTCAGGAACTCTCTCTGTCTCACACACACTCATGACAAAAACTTTTTGCTATTCAATCCTCTCTCAAACTTCACCTCTCTTCAGAAAAAAAAAAAATTCCCCTTCTTTCTCTTTTAAAATCCATTTTTGACTCTCCTCTATCAGAATCCTCTCTCAAGTGATCCCCTTTAAAATTCATTTTTGTCTCTCCTCTATCAGAATCCTCTCTCAATTGATGTGGGTTCCTGTTCCTTCATGTGCAGATCCGCAGAAGCAATACGCAGATGCAGTCATCGAAGTCCTGCCGACTCAGCTCATTCCCGACGATAATGAAGGGAAGATATTGAGAGTGAAGCTTGTGATGAAAGAAGGGGTCAAATACTTCAGTCCGGTTTACCTCTTTGATGAAGGATCCACCATTTCCTGGATACCATGTGGTAGGAAGCTCACCTGCTCCTATCCAGGCATCAAATTCTTCTATGGCCCAGACGCCTACTTCTCCAATGAGGTAATTAATAATAACTCACCCTTTGCACTTCATGGGGTATCATTTTTTATCATGGGGTATCATTTTTTATCATTCTTTTTTTAAAAAAAGAAAAATTAGTATAAAGAATAAACCCCACAAATGATCAATCATCAAATGGCCTTGTATTGGGTTTAATACTTCTTCTCTTGTATTTATCAGGTCTCTATTCTTGAGATGGATGGACAGTTTGATAGATTAGATGAACTGATATATGTGGAGAGCCATTTGAGCAACCTCTCCACGAAATTCTATGGCGAAGTCACACAACAAATGCTTAAACACGTAGACTTCCCAGGAAGTAACAATGGCACAGGTCTCTTCCAAACCATAGTTGGGTTGAAAATAAGGGACCTCTATGAACAAATTGTAGCTAGCAGGGCAGGGGCTACTTTGGAGACTGCCAAAGTTTGATCAAGACAGGATTCTCTCCCTATGAGTTCTCTCTCTTAAGTCTGTGCTTATCAGTCGACTTTTCCATTGTCAATATGGAATTCTCAGTTTAAATGTCTAAAGATCCTTAGCACAGGAGATCATAATATGTGTAGTTTATGCTGTATGTGGAGAATGTATTGTAGAGGTGATGCAGATCCAATGTACTCACCTAACATTTTTCAGAGTGTTGGGGCAATCAAATGGCTATCTTTTGTGAATCCAATCGGGTTGGCAGCTGTGTGCTCCCACCATGCTCCTCTCTCTTTCTCTCTCTCTCTCATGCACACGCGTGGACACAGGTGCACATGTAACAGAGATTCTTATTGGAATATCTCCCCTCTAATGTTTCAAGTGTTAATACATCCAAGGGCTTGCACTAATACATACCGATCTTGCCTTCCGAGCCACTTGACGGACCATGATTATCTCTCTCTTCCTGAAACAAACCGGTTTCCCTATCTTCTCTCTCCCACTCTCTCTCTCTCAAAACCTTTACACATTTTATCTGACATATTTGTTCGAACATTTCTGATTTCATATTTCAAGTGTTAGCACATCCAAATGGCTTATGACTGGGAATACAGATCTCGCTTTCAAAGTCACTTGCTCCCACCATGATCATCTCTTTCTCTCTCTTTTGGAATGCTACTAAGTATGCAAGGACTCCTCCTTGTATTTAGAAATCATTTTTACTTTGACACATGTCGACACTTAGAAACAACATAAGTCCAACATATGGCAGTAAGTAGTCATCATTTTCCAGTACAGTATCGGTACTTCAAATTAAAGTGTCTTGCAACTTTTTATTGCAAAACAATAAAACGGCATACCATACTCATGTTGTGAATGAAAGCCCTTTAACGTATCCAGCAATTTAAATTAGCAATTTAAAAGTATACCATACTTATGTTGTGAATGAAGGCCTTCTCCAACTGTCCACAACGTAATAAGCTACCACATCACCCAGTAGTTGTTGAATGTTAAGAAAGAGACATCTAAATTACATATTTTAATATAATATTTTATGGGATTGTATATAATGAAACCATTTACCTTTGATACAATGTGGTCACAATTACTTACAACTATCCGATGTGAAGTTTGATAGCTTCGATGTGTTACGAAGTTCAAAAAAATTTCTTTTGAAGTTTAAGCTTGGACTTCTCCAACCATTTAATTCACATGCTCACAATAGGACATGTCTAACTGTATTAACCTTTTAGACCAACGTACCAGACACTTAAAACACTTTTAGACACCAAACCCGGTCTTAGTATCCATGTAACACTCTCAAAAGCTCAAAACCTGGAGTCGAACGCGGTCATGGCCAATACCACAGTGGTAACACCTTTTCATTTCTCATATTAAATACAGAAAAGCTAAATATAGAAAATTATGCATAATGAAATAATAGGACACCCCATCCTTTTAGTTACAAAGCTCACCCCAACTATGAGTCAAGTATAATCTGGCAACCTTTTTCCAATTCGAAATGAGTTTTTTTATCCACTGTAAGTGTTTCTATGTCCACACAGTTCTACATTAGTTTTTTATCCACTGGTTTTAAGTCTCTCTCTCTCTCTCTGGGACAGCTGAGATTCTAAAGGGAAATTTAAAAAATGGTCAAAAACCAAATCAAATGGAACAAATGTTGCCAGAGAACTGAACTTACCAGATAATCCTGTATCTCATGGGATGTGCAAAAGTCCCCACATCTAATCATATATTCTGACCATCGCCTAATTTATTCATAAGGGCAGAGAAGATTGAACCAATATACTTTACAAAAGAAAATAACTGTTCTCCTCAATATAAATAATTGGATATTTGGATACAATGACCACATAATATATCACATGTTGTATTTACATTAACACCTGACCTGCTATTAAAGTCAAGCTGCGCCTCACAACTGGAACAGAACAGAGCAAAGAACCGAATATACCATTTAAGGCATAGGCAATGGCACAGAATGGAAGGGCCTCGGGCTCCTTTGCCGACAAAGCTGCTGTTCCCAATCCATGAGCACTAGAACCACAATCAAGAACGACCCCAGTAAGTAAACAAAATCATAAGGGGATGTATACCATTAAAGTTTGTTCTATGGTTCTACTAACAGCAACCACCATACATTCTTGTTGATGGACAGTGGAGATTAAACATAGTGGCCCCCCTCAAGAAGTAACCCATGTACAATTAATCTTCACAGTTTGTCTAATGGAGATGGGTACCAACTAAAAGTAAATTCGCTTGTGCTTCAGAGGGGTTCAGCTCTGATGAGCTGATTGTTTTTTGCCAAAAGTTATTTTTCAAAATTATGTATTAAGGCAGACATTTTTCTTGAAAGAGACATTTTCCACGATGTCGACTAAATGCACTATCTATTCCCACATATCGTCTCTTAATTCCACGTTAACAATTTTATATGTCCATTCTAAACAACATCTGCCAAAACTTAACCAATGAATATAATGTGAGATATATTTCAGCATTTTCTTATATAAAGATTGATGTGCATACCTAGAGGCTGTTGCTATTCCTCGAGCAATAGGATCATTCAAGCGGAGTTTATCAAGCAAAGCTTGCACAAAATTTGCACCTATCAGCCCAGTTAACACAACTGCAGCAGCTGTGAGGGATGAATTGGCACCTGAAACAACAAAACTACTATCAATTGGTCTTCCCTATAATGATAAAAGACAGACACATTGATATGGTCCATTCTTTTCTTGACAGTAACAGCTATCAAACTATTCATTGGTTTTTACGCTTTACTCAGTTCCAAAGTTGAAATAATTTACTTTTGGGGATTCCAAAATTGAAACAAATATTTCTAGCTTCATTTTCTTCGAACTATAGACAACTGAAATACAAGTACACACGCACACATACTACACTGTTCACAAATCCCCTTGAAGGAAAAAGAAGTACTTGATAATTCTTTCAGAATGTTTTTTACAAGGAGGCAAGAAGCATAAGAGCAGAAGAGTTGGAAGGCAGGTCAAAATTCAAGTTGAAGGAAAGAGTTTGAAATAAATCTCCGCCATCGCTTATTGTAGGTAAACGTGACCTAGAAGAAAACCACAACAGAACTTTCAATAGTTCAGCAAGTTAAAAAGTAATTTGAATTAATTTGACCTTATGACATGGTTTCTTGTACAAGCACCAAACGGGGTGTCTCCACCTTATAAATCAACAAGCTAATGACATGTGCATCACAAGATGCTCCAGTTGAAAGATGGAAATAAATATTTAAATATGTATTTAAAAATTAAGAGTTTATTTTCTTTCATTTTTAATTTCTTTAGTAATTTTTTATCGATTTTTAATTTTTCTATTTAACCTTTTCTAAGTTTTTTCTCGAGTTTTCATGTATACGATAAGCTAAACATTTTATTAGTCTTATTTTTAGTAATCATAAGTACCTTATAAAAGCCATTTCTCAATTTTTATTTTGTTCTTTTCGTTTGCTCCTCTATTTTCTCTCCAATAGAAATTTTTAAATTAAGATTTGGATAAGACAAAAATGTCTTTTTTGAAAGAGAGATGATACCTCTCTTTTTTGCAACTTTACCATTAGATTTCTACAACAAATCAAATAGAATTTTAAGCAAAGAAATTTTACATGTGAGAGATTAGAGATAGAAAATGAGAGAGACAACTCAGGATACTTGGAGGGGAAATAAGAGATGTAACAAATTTATAAGTTAGACTCCTATTTAATCTCCTTTATATGTGTGTGTGTGTTTGTGTGTCGTGCGTGAGTGCATGTGTGTGTGCATAAGTGCATGCGTGTACATGTGCGTGTGCGTGTGCGTGTGCGTGTGCGTGTGCGTGTGCGTGTGCGTGTGCGTGTGCGTGTGCGTGTGTGGGAATCCCTCTTGTATACCCCCTCATGTACATGAGGGAGATTTTATGCGCACGTGATTGTCTGTAGGAAAAGTATACAAAAAGACCATTCAGTCAACCTCAAATAGTTGGGAAAATGCTTTGATGATGATGCTGCAAAGAGACCATTTACTTTTAATAGAAGGATATCAAAATCACTCTTGTCTATCAAATTTCAAATCGAATAGTTGTGAGTGTGTCATTGACAAGACTCAAAGTTCAAAAAAAAATTCTCGAACTTTGTGACACATCCTATGCCATCCAATTTGACATGCAAGGTCTAGTAGCAATTGTGACCTCCTTCTAACAAAGATAAATGGTCCTATAGTATACAATCCTATATATATCTATTAGGTTTTGAAAAAGATATACAATCCCATATCTATCTATTAGATTTTAAAAAAGATATTTCTCGTGCATGCATGAATGCTTGTTATATATGTGCATGCAAGTGCCCATGCATGAGTGCCACCAAGGCAAGGGGGCACCATGCACCAATTTGGCAATAATTGCTCAAAACGATAGTCCACAATCAGTAGATGCAATGTATTAATGCGGTCATTTTTTAAAGACATGTCAAGAAGAGTTAATCTTAGAGCGGGAAGAAAAGAGTTACCTTCAAAAAGTGAGACAATACTGAGTGCTAAAGCAACTGTAATACACCTTGGTAAAATGGATACAGTTAAAGCAGGCTCTAATCCCACAATTCGCCCAACAAAAGCAGTCGAGTACAAAGAGAATATACAGGAAAGTATCACTGAAGTGAATATCTCTGCAGCATGTCTCTTGACAAGCTATAAAAGAATGCACAAGAAAAATCAGGCGGTCACTAGAATTGGTTACTTCTTACTATAATTTATAGATACTATGAAATTTCTAGTACAACTATAAAGTTGGCTTCGGATATGAGAAAAATTAATAAAATCTCAAAGACAGAAACCAGAGACTTACCCTTTTCTGCTTGAACATTGAAAAGGCGAATGAAATGATAACAGATCCTAAAAAGCCCATCAGAATATCACCAGCTCCAGGATTTGATGGTACTTTGGTGAGATAGTCTCCTGCACGGACAATAATCATCTCAGAATTGATGTTCATAGCTTGTCCGGTCAACAATCCAAGTTAAATTTATGTGAGCAACTTTCTTTCCAACTATTATTAATCAAGAGTTTTCTTTTTCTTTGAGAATGTTTACTGATAATGATATAGACATGTTTTCATTTTCTCTAACTAACCATCTTACAATCTCAGTGGTATTTTCTTTGCATTAAAATTAGATTTTGGAGAGAATTTGAAGAATAAAGAACAGAAAAACACTAAAAAGACAAAGGTCATTAACCTAAAACAGCATCCAGTCCAATGCGCGAGACATATCCAAACGCCATTGCTGCCAAGTCTGCAGATAATGCACAACATACAATCGGATGTAGAAGACTCTTGACACTGGATGGCAACCTGCATCTCAAATTGCATAGAGGTTAAAAATAATATAATAAACATAAAGTTACACAGTTGCATTCAAAACATAATGAAAATAATTACACCAATACAAAACATTGCAAGTAAAGGAGAGGGTTTGAACCACTAGCTTTATCGAAAGGTGCTTATTCTTGCAACCTTTGAGATCGTAGATTCAAACCCGACACAATATACGACCTTAAGGCTTTCAGAAACTAATGAGGTTTCTAAAAGAGCATTATTTCATCAGGGAAATTTACCTGCTTTTTCTTTTTTGGGGTACTTCAGTGGTAGGAATCAAACTTGAGATTTAGCATTGCTAATCATCAGTTGCTAACCACTCAAGCCCAAGCTTGATTCTCATAAGGGAAAATTACTTCATAAAACACATTTATAATTTATTATACTTATCAAAAAGCACTCTCATTATAAAACATTTAGCTTTGGGGAAGTACAGCATGCAACACTGATGCACGTTATATGGTACATACAAAGTTATCCACTATGTATTACTGATGATAGATGTTGGAAATTAAACATACCCAGATGAATTTCATAATCAAGAATTATAATTGATTTCCACTGATCATCATCAGGACAAGCACTCAATGCCTTTATGCTGTATGATATATCATACACTATAGGTGTATGGCATACTTGCCCTTTCGCATTAAGATGGAAGGTAAACAAGGTCTGTGCATTACCTGGAACCAATCATATACCCCAAGACCGTAGCTGCAAGTAAAAATGGGAGGCTTGTCCTTGCAGTTGTTCCAAGAGCAATTGGGAAGAAATACGCAATTATAAAGAATACGAGGAAAATCACAGACCAAGATGCAATCTCAAAGGTCGAAAATGGAGGAGGTTTTTCCATTGGCTCAGCAGGTATCATCTCCGTCTTTACAATATTTCTCACAGTAAGGGCTGTGTACCCTGCTACACAACACGAGGCGAGCCAACCGCCAACTGCCAACAAAAAGGAGTTTGTGTGAAGAAATACAACATCACTGAAAATAATTTGGACCAGGATGAACAAGAACTCTCTCTCTCTCTCTCTCTCTCTCTCTGCATGTCGTATGCGTGTGTGTATCTTAAGTTCTAACCTCTGACACTCAACAAGCTATAGTTGTTTGCTGGTATAACAAATCTTGCCAAAATGCTTGTGAGTAAAAGAGGGATTGGACACAAGATGTAGAAAATGATGTTCACTCAAAGCTTGTTTAACATTGTTTTTATTGGCCATTGTTTGATACATCTGAATCTTGGGCTTACCATGAAACAAGAAAATAAAAACTAAATCCTGGGGAATTTTTCTGGATAGTAACAGGAAACAAAAATTATTGACATGGACACCCATAAAGCCAATAGATTCGATATATATATCATTGTATTTGCATACCAATAATGAACACGATCTTGGCCCCCGAAGCTGCAGGAATATCCTTAACTGCCAACGGTAAGACCACCATTGCAGGAACATAGAATAGAGGAAGCCACCTCTGTATAAACATGGTGGCTGGCTCAAAGAAGGCCATGGCTTTGATGGCCATTGGTGGGGCAAAGCAATCCAATATCAATAGAACAGAGAATATACAAAACATCCCAAATAAAGCACTTGGGAACTTGATAGCAGCAGCTACAAAGGCCCTCTTCAAAAAGTAATCCATTGATAGTATGACCCCCAGAGAGACAAGCAAGTGACATACTCCAACCACCTGGTAATCAATCATCCATCGTAAATGTCTAGCTCTACTAAACTGCGAGAAATATTAGACGCCCCATATATAAACAGATATGCATACATCTAAAAACATACTTCAAATGCATACATACACAAATATATGCATACCTGCATGCATTGTGTGTGGGATGTATGTATGTTACCACATGTTATCCTACACAGCTAGAAGTGACTATTCCAATGAAGATCCTGAGTTTATGGTAGTCAAGTAAATCAATCAACGCTTATAATTCTAATAAGAAGTGAAAATATTTTGGATTCTTGGGAAGCAATGGATTCACACAATTACGCATTCTTTTGCGTTGAACTTCAGAACCCAAGTTTAAATTACAGTTAAGCAAGGAGAAACAAAAGAGACTTGTTTTCTTGGTAAGAAACCCTACAATTATGTCATTGTCATTAAAGAAAAACTGCATTTCCATTAAAAATCCAAACACCCAACTTCTAAATACACAGATGTAATCAAGGACTAAGACACAGGCTAAATGGGAACTCGAAAAAGCACATCACTTGAAGCAATCTGAAATCATACGAATACCATCAAAAGTTATACCATCAATGATATCATACAGCGTTTTTGGACTCGCCCGAGTCCACTTAGACTCCGGCGAGTAAGTCAGTCTCACGCTATTGGGGAGGGGAGTTGGGTGCCTAACTCGCCCTGCCCTAAAAACCTGAAAAACATATATACCAAAAAAATCAAAATTTCAAAAAAAGTAGAAAACATCAATATGTTAGTTATTAATATGTTTTTAGATGATTTTGATAGTTTTAAGATAATTGGGAACTTTTATGTTTTTTCCCTTTTTTAAACTTTTCTGAAATATTCAGGGTATAAATCAAGCTTTTCAATCCTCTATCTTTTATAGATTTTGTCATCTTCTTTAGTATTCTAATGCACTCTATTACTTCTTTTATCTGTTTTTTGTTTTTAAATATTTTTTAGAATTCTTTTAGTTTTTTTTACTTTATTACAACTTTTTTGGGAGTGCACCACCGTGTACCTTGGCCTGAGGCAATTTCCTAAACATTGATATTAAGAATAGGAAAAGTAGGAGGAGAAGGATGAGGATGAGCAGGAGGAGGAAGAGGAGGTGGTTGCAGCGAAGGAGGAGGAGATCACTCTCCATGCCTAAAAGAACTCTTCACTTGCAGCTAAGAAACCATCTTACTTCTAATGAGAACCCCAAATGCAGATAGTTAAATCAATCTAATTTAATCGTAACTTACAAAATGAAGGATGCTTCAATCTAATTTTATTACATTTACAAAATACAAGATACTTCCACACATTCTATAGATACATTTCCAAATTGCAGACCAACACATAGAAGCTATTCTTCTCATTAAACTCAAAAGTAAGAACACAGAGAAGAGAAAAAGTGAAAAACAAAACCATCGTTAAAAGACAACTCAACGCACCATATTGATTGCACGAACTACCGGAAGGAGAAGGAGGAGACGGAGGTAATTTACAAAATGAAAGATGCTTCAATCTAATTTTATCATATTTACAAAGTGCAAGATGCTTCCACACATTCCAGAGACACAAGCCCAGATTGCAGACCAACACAAGAAGCTATTCTTCTCATTAAACTTAAAAGGAAGACTAGAGATAAGAGAAAAGTGAAAAACAAAACCAACGTTAAAAGACAACTCAAACCACCACATTCTTGAGATTGCACGAACAAAGAGAAGTAGAAAACACTTTCCTACTACCCAACAATTCTAAGTCGCTTATTGACCTACCGAAAAATAAATACTACCAATTGTTTCAGTGAGAGAAACCCAAATTTGTTCCTAATTATTCAAACTCATCATCAACTGATTTTTCCAGTCAATCTCAAAGAAGAAAGAGAGAGTCAAAAGCCAGAGTGCCCCTCAAAACCCAGGACTTCTCAGCTCTAAATTCACAGACAAACCATTCAATTCTACAGATAGAAACCCAAATCAAAATTTACCTTTTGGAACCGATCAGAAGCACCGGCACTGTTCGTCGCATTCGCCTCAACAAGAACCTCTCTCAAAGCTTCATTTTTATTGAAATCCATGTTCAAAAACCCTGGTTTTTTACCAATTAAACTTATGGGAACATTTCTTCTAAATCCGGGGTTCTTGGACAAAGCCCAAAGTCCATTAACCAAAGTGGGGTTTTTTTTTAGGAGCTCCTCTCCACAGTTCTCTTGTTATAGGGGCGTGAATTGGAGCGTAGCATGAAGTTGCAGAGGCCAGCGCCATGAAAAAACAGAGTACAATCCATGAAAAACCGCATCGATATTTAAATTCGATGGACAGGAATAATACAAATGGTCACATTAATAATTAAAAGATGAAAACCGTCCTTTGTCAATAAAGATCCCATTTTCATCGAAATATTTTTATTGCCATTGGTTCCTTGCGTCGTAACTTTTCGTATGGGTGACATGGAATTATGGCCCTTAGAGAGATAATGACCATTGTGCCCTTTCTATATCAGGAAAAAATTGGGCATGTTTCTCTCTCTAGCGGGGAAGGCAAAGAGTTTGTTAACATGTTTTTGTCCCCGTTCTCTATTTTCAGTTCACGCCCGCCCCCGTTCACCATTTTCAGTTCACGCCGGCCCCCACTTTCTATTTTCAGTTCACGCCGGCCCCCACCCCCTTCCTCTAGCGGGGGAGTGACCATCTTAATTCTTATTCCGCTTGTTTCTCTCTCTCTCTCCATTCGCGGTCCAATTTTTTTTTTTTTCTTTTTCTTTTTTTTTTTAACGTAGGGATCGGATTTAAGGTTTGTTATAACGGAATGGACCAAAATTTGGCCGGGTGTCCCCTCCTCACCGGCCTTAAAAATTCAGAGCTTGTGACAAAATGTAAAACGGGCGTCGGGTTAAGGTTGGGCTATTATAGTATGAGGGCTAAGTCAGATCAGGCCTGGGCCTAACCAGAGCTTGGGCCAGGTCAAATCGTTTCAGCTTCTTTCTTTTCCTTTTTTCCCTTTATTTTATTGGCCCAGCCCGGCCCTACCTTGATAGGGCCAGGGTCTCCTTGGCACAGGTGCGACCCGACCTGTTGCCCGTTCTTGTTTCTGTCTAATGATTACATTATTATTCCCCCTTTTTTTTTCTGGAGAATATATACTATGCTCCCTCAGGAGCATAGTTTACTTCTACTCCATCATATAACCTATTTGGGAGATTTTTTTTGCTTTATCAATTTGAAATTGTGGGAATAACCTAAGATTCACTCGATGATCATTCTCAAAAAAAAAAAATTAAAATTTTTGAATTTTTTAACACTTAGATGTCACCTTCTAAAAATTGGACAGTTTGAATTCAATCCTTTATATATTATTTTTTTCATATTCTTAAAATATGCATTAAGGAAAGTTTTTTATGGAGTTTAATTTATGTTAAAAAGATTATATCCCCAGAATTTAGGATCTTAAAAGTAATCCTTAATAAGATTTCACCAGTAAATAGATAGTATACTTCCAATAAAGTAAAACATAATTTAGTTTCTTTTTCTCTCTCATTTTCATTAATAAGTGTCTTGACCACTCAACCTTTTTTTATTTAATTCCGCCTCTCTGTCCACGTGTGGCCTAGGTTTCCGGGGGTCCCCATTGTCGAGGTTTTTGAGTGGCATTGTTCAACTTTGTAAAGTAATGGAACTATTGAAGAAATTAGTAGTAGGAATCAAACTTGAAATATAGTGTTGCTAAGGTTAATCACAACCCACTTAAGCCCAAGCTTGATTTTTAAGTGAGTTTTGATTCACATTAGTAATTTTTTAATATAAAAAATTAGGATTTAAGTGACCAAGTTCAGGTCAAAGGCTTTGCCTCTGAACTAGGACCTTGGAGTTGGCTTGGTAAGTTTTGAAGTACTATATATAGGACCAATTTGTTAAGAAGAATCCTTAGTTTCTCAAAGTTTTCGAATTGTCTTTGCACAATAAATATGAATACATCTGGGTAGCTCCAATAGACGATAGGATGGGAAAAAGTAGACTTATGTAGTTTAGCCATGTGCAGCGTTAATCTAGAATAACACTCGTTATGATGGACAATTTGGTTCAAGTGGAAAGCTCTATAAGGGTAAGGAGTATGACCAAAATGATATGAATAAAAGTGGTGAGAAGAGTTATGGTGACTTATGGTTTTACTGAGGGTATGGCTCTTAATAGAGTAGGATGATAGAATATGATTCGTGTAGCCGACCTTAAATAATTGTGATAAGACTCAAATGATGATGATGACTATCTCTGCACAATAAACAAGGAAAAGAAAACAAAGGCCCTAAGCTCTTAAAACCCTAAACCCAGGGATCATCATCCATCCAACAAGGGTGAGAAATGGGTCGGGTCAACTTAATCGGGTATGAGCTTGACCCAAATAATGGACCTAACAGGTCGGATCCGGGTCCAAATCTAGACACAACCCAATATATATAATATAAAATCATCATCATCATCAAAACCTTTTTTCAACTATTTAGAGTCTGCTATTACATGAAAAATTGTGGCAAAGTTTTATGTTGACTGCCTACGTAACACAACTCACCACCTTAACCCAAGCTTCGAGCTGATTAAGTGAAAGTTTAAAGCCTTCTCCCTTCTTAGACTAATTTGTAGGGAGATATTAAGCTATTAAAAAAAATTGCTTGCGATTCATTTGTTTTAATGAAGGTTTTTATTGATTGGGGGAATCCCCCTCAAAGTGGGCTCTTCTTGCCTTTTCTTCCCTTATTTTTTTTGTTTTTGTACAAAAGCTCTAGGACCCTATCCTTATGATAGCCTCAACTAAAGCAATCTAATTGTATCGTAATTCACAAAATGAAAGATGCTTCAGTATAATTTTATCATATTACAAAATCCAAGATGCTTCCACACATTCAAAGATAAGAGAAAAACAAAATCAACATTCAAACACAACTCAAATCATCCCATTCTTGATATTGCACGAACAAAAAGGAAAGCTTTCTATGTTCCCCTACAACATAGAAATTCTATCCTCCTCCTACCATTCAACCGTCCATTTTTTTATCAAGAGAGTCACTCACTGTTTGATCTTAGATCCGACGTCTCAAAATATTTTATTTTTATTAATACAATTTTTCTGAATATGAAATGTGGTACTTGCTCTCTTCTCATTGGAACACACCTATAAAAAATATTAACGATAATTTTTTTATAAAAAATAATGACCAAAATACTTTTTTAATCTTTTTGGGATATTTTGGTCATTTTATTTTATTGAAAATATTTTTTTAACATTTTTTGTTAGTGTGAATTTAATAGAGGAATGGACGTTCAAACTTTGGCGTCAAAACGGTTTATAAAAAAAAAAAATTTTTAAAAAAAATAGTGTAGAGACATGACATTATGATTGGAACAATCTTAACCCTCCATTAAAAAATTGATGGTTAGATAAAAGGGATGATAGAACTCCTATATTGTAGGGAGAACATAGAAAGCTATCTTTCCCCGAACAAAAAAGAGTAAAAAGCACTTTCCTAATACCCAACAATTCTAAGTTCCTTTTTTACTCTACCCAAGAATAAATAATACCAATTGTTTTAATAAGAGAAACACGAATTTGAATTTGGCCATATGGAATTGGCCATGTTACTCGGCATCGGCCTTTATTCACTATTCTTATAAAAGATAGATATTAATTGGTCAAATTTAAGTCTAAAAAATATCTAAATGGCATTTTGGCTAGAGTGCATGTTGCGGTCATTTTCTTGACCTAAGATTTCCTTTTGACAGAGAGTTAAAAGAAAGAATTTCCCATTACTCGAGAAAAGAGCTCAAAATTAATAATACCAATTGTTTTAGTGAGATAAAAGCAAATTTGTTCCTAATTATTCAAACCATCCCTAAAATCAAACTCGAGACCTCTTGTAAAAAGATATTTTAAAACCAGGCAATCTAACCAACATGTTATTTAATATTTGATTAAAAAAGTTAAATGTTATATTAAAAACATTTTATCTTAATTTTTTTAAAAAATTGAGTTGGTGTTGAGTGAGTTACTCGATTCATCCGAGTAAACAAGTCGGTTTTTTGAAAGCTGATTCAAACTCAGTGTAAACAAATTTTGCTAGGCCATCCCAAAGAACACGAGAGAGTCAAAAGTTACATGCCTCTCAAAACCCATGACTTCTCAAGTCTAATTCACAAACAAACCACTGAATTCGAGAGATAGAAACCCAAATCAAAACTGTACCTTTTGGAACCAATGAGAAGCACCACCACTGTTCGTCGCAGATGCCTCAACAAGAACCTCTCTCAAAGCTTCCTTTTTATTGAAATCCATGCTCAAAGTCACTGGTTTTTTACCAATTAAACTTATGGGCACTTTGCTTCTTCTTAATCCGTGGTTCTTGGACAAAGCCCAAAAGCCATTAACCAAAATGGGTTTTTTCCTATGAGCTCTTGTCCTCAGCTCTCTTGTTATAGGGCCTTGAAGTGGAGGATAGAATGAAGTTGCAGAAGCCAGCGCCATGAAAACAGAGGAGTATGATCCTTGAAAACTCACATCTCATATTTAAATCCAATGGACAGGAATAATTCAATGGTCATAAACTCATAATATAATGCAAAGATGAGAATTGTCTCAATGAAGACGCCATTTTCATGGAGCTTCTCGAATCTATGCAGAGGGGACATGGAAATATGGCGCTTAGAGAGAGAAGGACCATTATGCCATTTCTAAGGTAAACCCATTGTTTAAAAAAACGGACCAGCGAATCGGTCACAGGCCCGTGTTGGATTGGGGAATTGGTGGATCGGATTGGAGAATCGGTCGAATCGACAAATTTTGTTCCAAACAAATTCAAAATATCACTATAAGAATTTTAGAATAGTATTCTTTTAGTTTTTTAAAAAAATTAAAAGTTGTGCATTATGTATTTTTATTATTTTGTAAAAACAAATGAATACTCAGATGTTGATTTTCTGTTTGGATATCTGTATAATTGTTAATTATAATATAGTATTGTAATATTGTATTAAAATAATTTAAAAATATTAAGCAATACTTTTATATTATAAAAATCTCCTATAAAGTGAATTCAATATCACATTTAACATTTATTAATTTATCTTTACTCGTCTAAAATGATCACAACCTAACAACTATAATATTATATATTAAAATTGAAATTATTAATTTTTATTTTATAGTCACTTTACTATGTAAATAAGAATAAATTTAAAATTTGTCTTATAATATTATGTAATTTAAAAAATATTATAATTTACCATTATAACAAAAAATAATATATTATATAATTTGTAATGTAAATATATAATTAATTGTAATATTATAATAAACGTGA